GCAGAAGGGGAAGAGAGAGAGGGAGAAATGAGAGAGACACATAAGGGGAGGGGAAGAAAGAGGCAGAGGGGGAAGAGAGAGACTGGGAAGGAGAGGGGAGACATTGACACAGAGGAGCAGTGAGGGGGAGAAAGAGAGGACCCGGGGCAACGCTCTGGCTCTCACGAGGGTGAACTCTAGCCCTGGAGCTACGGGCTAGAGTTCACTCTCACCACTTCCTGGTGGTCACAGTAGTAGGAGTGAACTCTAGCCCCATTCACACACTGCCCCCACACACACCATACACATTCACACACTGCCCCCCCACACACACACACCATACACATTCACACACTGCCCCCCCACACACACACACTGAACCTTTCACACACATTGCACCCCTCACACATTGCACCACTGCTCCTATACCCTACTACAGCCCCATATCCCAGCAGACTCCAGGTAAGTTGTCAAACTGTTCTTACTAGGTTTGACTACTTACTCTGGGAGGGGGTGCCGACACTCCTGGCACCATAACCACTACACAGAGGAGTAGTGGTTATTGTGCATGGAATATTTCTTTAAATAATCTACAAGTGCCCCTCCCGGGCTCAGGCTTTGGATCCATCACTGGTATATGACATGTATATTAGTTATATATATATATATATTTACACATATTAATGTACATTTATATATGCATAATACACAGAGAAATTTCATTAATATGTACCATATGTAATGAGCAGATATTGGCCCAGTCTTGTTGCTAGGTGCATACTCCAGCACAATAACATATTTAAAGTGAAGAGCACACCCACAGGACTTCAAAATAAACATTTTTTACAGTTGTGCCCAGGGCCGGCCTTAGGCAATTAGGCGCCCTGTGCAAAAAGTCTTCACGGCGCCCCCCCCACCTCCCACCAAGTTGCCTGAATACAGTAACACACACAGGCACCGGGGACGTGTGTATCACGAGGCAAACAAGGCATCTGCCTTGGGCGCCACTTTGCAGGGGGCGGCAAAAAAAAGCATCCCTCAAAACCCCCAGGCAGATCCCTTGCTTGCCTCGCATCCTGGGGGGCTCAAGAGCTGACCGGCTGGCCACTTTTGAGCCCCCCCAAGGCTGGCAGCGGGCAGCGAAAGAGCATACTCACCTGAGCTCTTCCTGCTCAGCTTCCTCTGCGCCGCTTAATGAAGCCGGGAGCCAGAATATGACGTCAGTCCGGCTCCCGGCATCACTAAGCGCTGCTTACTCAGCCTGTGCGCCCCCTGCCTGCCTGCCCAGCAGCCACACTGGACTGCTGGTAAGAAATCCACTCCAGCTTTCCAAGGGAGGCTGGGTGGATTTAAAATAAATGTAAAAAATATTAGTTTGTGAGTGTTAGTGGAAATGTCTGTGTGTGTGTCTGTGAGTGTTTATTTTGAAGTGAATGTGTGTGTGTGTGTGTGTGTGTGTCTGTAAGTGTGTAATTGTGTGTGTCTGTAAGTGAATGTGTGTGTGTCTGTGGGTGAATGTGTGTGTTGGTCAGTGAGTGTATATGTGTCAGTCAGTGAGTGTGTATGTGTCAGTCAGTGAGTGTGTATGTGTCGTCAGTGAGTGTGTATGTGTCAGTCAGTGAGTGTGTATGTGTCAGTCAGTGAGTGTGTATGTGTCGTCAGTGAGTGTGTATGTGTCGTCAGTGAGTGTGTGTCGGTCAGTGAGTGTGTGTCGTCAGTGAGTGTGTGTCGGTCAGTGAGTGTGTGTCGGTCAGTGAGTGTGTGTCGGTCAGTGTGTATGTGTCGGTCAGTGGAGTCGTGCATCTTTCAGTGAGTGCTTGTGTCTGTCAGTGAGAGTGTGCATCTGTCAGTGTGTCCAAGTAATAGTGTATGTGTGTATGTCATTGTTTGTCAGTGTATATGAGAGTGTGTGTCTGTCAGTGAGTGTGCGTCTGTCAGTGAGTGAGCGTCTGTCAGTCAAAGTGCGGCCTTGACAGGAAGGGGTGGGGAAATTTAAACTCGGTTACAGGCATGTACACACACACTCAGTTAAAGGCAGTCACACATACAGGCACAGGCACAAACAATGGCACAGCTACAGCGACACAGACAGACAGTCACATGGGCAGTCACACACACACACAGACACACAGTAACACACACATAGACAGTTATACACACACAGGCAGGCAGTCACACAGATAGAAAGTCACACACACAGGCAGGCAGTCACACACAGACAGATAGTTACAGACAGACACACACAGGCAGGCAGGCAGTCACATACAGGCAGTCACATACAGGCAGTCACACACACAGGCAGTCACACACACAGACAGGCAGTCACACACACACACAGACAGTCACACACACAGACAGTCTCACACAGACAGACAGTCTCACACACACAGGCAGTCACACACACGGGCAGTCACACAGACAGACAGTCACACACACAGGCAATCACATACATGGGCAGTCACACAGACAGACAGTCACACACACAGACAGTCACACACAGGCAGGCAGTCACACACAGAGACAGTCACACACACACACAGAGACAGACAGTCACACACACACACAAGGACAGGCAGTCACACAGACAGTCACACACACACACACACACACACAGACAGTCACACGCACACAGGCAGGCAGTCACACAGACAGTCACACACACACACAGACAGACAGTCACACAAACAGGCAAACAGTCACACACACACACTTACCTCTTTCCAGTGGATGCAGTTGGCTGATGGGAAGCATCTTTCCCTCTTCCTGTACAGCAGGGGCTTCGGGAGGTATTAGCCCCGTCTCCGCCTCTCGATAAGCCCCGCCTCCGCCGCTCGGTAAACCCCGCCCCCTCTGCCGCGATTTTTTATTTTTATTTTTTTTTTTAAATAGACCCGGGTGGAGAATAATTAATCCTCCAGCCAGGTACCTCTTTTAGCTCCCCTGCACTCCGGCCATGAGTGAGCTGTGTCGGCCACAGGGCGCCCCCTGTTCCATGGCGCCCTGTGCGGTCGCACAGCTCGCACACCCCTAAGGCCGGCCCTGGTTGTGCCCTACATACATTCACCATTTCAGTCCCATTAACAAGCTTTCCTTAATATGGCAAGGTAGTTGGACTGAAACATTGATTACATGCAAAGGCACGTCAGCTTAAAATAAATCTGCACTTTTATTTATTTTGAAGCCTATGAGTGCGCTTTTTACGTTAAAGTACTTTTTAATTTTAATTTATCTGTTCTAAGTCTGTATCTGCACACTATGCTGGCGCGACGCATTATGGGGCTGGTAAAAAAATTTTTTCCAGGGCTGCTTTTAATTCCCTGTCCGGCCCTGATAGCAGCCTATTGCAGAATATGGACAATTCATGGGCAGAAAAAAATATATATATGTTCAGCTAGCAGTAGACATTATACATTTGAGATGATTAACCTGTGCCATGTCAGAAGGTGTGAAAAGTTCTTGCCCCAATGACACTGAACTGAGCTGCTCCGGGGAGAATAGAACCTTCCATTTCCTGTTCACTCGCAGACAGAAGAGGCGCGGGAATGTCTGTACTCGCGAGTGTAATTAAAGTGAGTGTATGTAAAGCAGGGTATGCCTGTATTGAGTGATGCCAAATAGAGTGATATATAAAAGGGACAATGGATATTATTGAAATAAAGTTCGGTCACTACTATGTATTCATAATCTAGTGGTATGGCAAGGGTCAAGTATCCATTTGACCATGTGAATACATAATAGATCATGATGATATACTAAACACCAATACCTACAGATACTCCATAAAAATGGCAAATAAATACAATAAATAGACAACTATAACTACTATGTACATTGTATACAACTGAATCGGCCGTGAGAAATGATCAATATCACTCATTCCGAGATAAATGATGTATAGGAGAAGCCTTCGTTAAGACCTAAAGGTGATAGAGTCTTAAGTTTATATATCCAACCTCATAAACCGTGCACAATAGGCACTTAAATTAACGATTAAGTGGTCATGGTAGTTAGAGTAACCCTTTAAGGAGTGCTGCTTAACACAGAGGGTTGAAAATCTTTCCCCCCTCCTATCAAGAGACATAGCAGCCTCCACACCGTGCTGACAGGGTTAATGTGTGATGGACTGCAAACAACTCAGCATTGTGTGACAGAGTCTAATCTGATACGGACAGAAACCAAGCACACTGCTGTGCGTTGGCTGATAAAAACAATATCTAATTAATTATGATTTGAGTCTGTTTCTGAATAACAATATCTAATTAAAAAAATCACCCATTTGATCTAGTCAGACAAGTTATGCTAACTCTTGTTGTTGGTTTGACAGGTTTTTTTTTGTTTTTTTTTTGCCTTTTATATGAAATTCTGAAGGAGATTTAAAATATATATATATTCATATTCCTTGGTTTTGCACCCCTCCTGGTCACAGGTGCCTCATTTCAGGACCCTATTTAGCCTTAACTAGCAGAGAGTCCCAGGAGGAAGTATTTCCCAAGTAAGTGGCTTAGTATCATAAGAGCAACTATTAGGCTGTTAGAGTAGGACCTGCCAAGAATGGGGTACATTGACGTTGTGGCAGGCTTATGCAATATATGAACATATCATTATTTTTTTAGAATTTGTAGTTTTTTTATTTAGACTCCAGCATGGTTCATCAACAATTTAACATGGGCAGGTAGTCCATGTATGAGTACAGAGAAATTACATAATTTCCAAATGTAGAATATTGTATAATAGAACATCGTGTAAATCCACACAGAGCAGTAAGGAAAAAACTTTGCCCAAAGTGATCATATCATTCTTAATAGAAAGATTAACACTCATAGAAGTGAAGTAAGGAGAATCCCAGTCTGTGAAGCTGTAGCTTGTAGTGTCGCTCTTTTGCCGGTAAGAAGTGATGGGGGCTACACTCAGTTTGACTCCCAAACGGGAAGCCAGCGTGCTTTCCACTGAGACAGCCTCAACTCGAGTTCACCTTCAAGTATACCCACGTGTTTCGTGGAGTAGTCTCCTCCCGTCCTAACACTTTGTGGACATTTTGGACTAATTTTGTTTTATTTATTAATACCCTACTGGACATTTTATATCTTATATATATATTTTTAAAATTTTTATATATATAAAAAAATGTTTAACTTGCTAGTGGTTGCTATACCCTATTGAGAGACTTATATTTGCACTTATTTTTATACATCTGTACTCTCAATTACTGTAAACTATTACATCTCACTCTATTTTATTGCTCCAGATTATTCTACTATATGTTTAGTTAGGTTATATTTGCACCTTTCTATCATGGCCAGCATTAAGTTTTTCAGCAATTTGAGCTACTGTAGTTTTTCTGTGTCGTCGTACCAGACGGGCTAGCCTTCGCTTCCCACATGTTCATCAATGAGCATTGGGTGCACCCTGACTCCAGTTCACCGGTAGTCCTTCCTAGCACCACATTTGGTAGGTACTAACCGCTGCATAACAAGAACACCCCATAAAACTTGCTGTTCTGGAGATGCACTGACCATCTGACCACTGAATCATCTAGCCGTCGCTCTTTGGCCCTTGTCTCTTTTTCTGCCCATTTTTCCTGCTTCCAACACATGAATTTCAAGAACTGACTTCTTGCTGCCTAATATATCCCACCCCTTGACAGGTGTCATTGTGACAATCTAATCAATGTTATTCACTTAATCTGGCAGCGTCTTTAATGCTGTGGCTGATCATTGTAAATTACAGTGTTAACAGAGTTTTAGATGTATTTCATAATCTGTTACTCAATATTTTATGAAGAAAAAACAAAAAAAAAACAAAGACAAGAAGATTTCTTTTCTAGGCTCCAATGAGATCTGTCTCTTGCCTTGCTCCCTCTGTGGTGGATTCTAGTTCAAAGATAGACATGTTCCCTGATAGTAACTGTTTCCCATTTGATTATCTACAGCAAATCATCTGTGAACAGCACGGGTTGTTTAGTCTCTTGGCATTCAGAACCAGCGGCGCAACTACTGAGCAGGCTCATCTAGTGTGTCAGTGTTTGCATATATGTGTCTGTGTATCTGTATGTATGTGTAACTGTATGTGTCAGTGTGTGGTTCTGTATGTCTGTGTGTGTGTCTGTGTATCTTCATGTGTGTCAGTGTTTGTATTTGTGTACCTGTATGTGTTTCAGTGTCTGTATATGTGTATCAGAAAGTGTGTGTATATGCGCATTCTTCTCAGCATTCAAACACCAACAATACACACATACACCTCTGCATTCAAACGCACCTCTGTCCTAAAACCTCATTACATATAAACACACCCCTGCATTCAAACACCAACACTACACACAAATTCACTCCTGTATTCAAATATCAACACTACATACAAACATACCTCTACATTCAGAAGCAAAAACTACTCACAAGTGCACTGCTTTGAAACAGCAACACTATATACAAACACACAACTGCAACAAGCTTACATTCAAACACACAAACACTGCTCAATCATAAGTACAACTCTACAAGGATGGGGAAATGGTATATTCCAAGCTGGCAAAGCATTGTAGAACTTGTATGACAAGGGGAATCTACCTTTGATACCGGAGAAACTGACGGAAGCAAAGCACAGAGGGATGGACACAGGTTTCTTCAGGAAGGAAGAGATTCTTTATTGGATCACCGATCGGGACTCAGAGGGACTAATGTCACCAAAAATACAGCAAGTTCTGAGCCCTGAACAATAGTGCAGGCTCCCTATATAGGCACATAACTCCTCCCATTAATAGCTACACCCACATATACCTTTAACCAATCAATGAGCAGAATATAGACTTGTACATCTAGTCAAACCACATGGCCCATCCAAGACAAAGGAAATAAGTGCAATTTCAGTTCCTGCATTCCTGCACATGCTCAGTACACTGATGACAGTATCCTAGCTACATGTAGCTAACCAACTGACACAACATACACATATGCCACATGGAGATTTTGGCCTACTAAATTTTAACCATGCTGGAATCCCATCACATTCCCCCCTTTGATGCCTCTTGATATTTTACAATTACTTGAGGCATCACTTAACCTTGGTTTGCATACACCACAAGTTACCTTTGAACCAGACCAGACTTATCCTACGATGTGAATCTTCAACACTCGTCTTCCTGCATTGGTTCTCCCTGATCTAGAGCCTTATATTTATAAATTGCCATTATCTGTGCAGCAGCCTTCCTCTCTGCTATATTTTCTATCAGGCTTTGCACAGACCTAACTACTAAGGGTATAAGACACGGCAGGAGTAGACACAACATTAAAATCAGTAGGACTCCACCTACCACTGCCTTAAGCCCTCCAAACCACTCATACCAGCTACCAAACCAACTACTTGGATTGTACCCTTTCCATACCTGAGTAGGCACATGCGCTAGTTTAACCATGTGGCTTGTAAGTTCAGCTATTGCTTGCCCTTCGTCATCTATTTGAAGACAGCAATTGCTCAGGTTAAACTTCCCACATACACCTCCCTCTACTGCCAAAAGATAATCCAAGGCTAATCTATTTTGGTAAACTGCTGTCCTCATCCTGGTATTATGCTTCGCTAGAAGATTGAGCGCTTGTGATGTCTCGTTAGTAATGATCTCAACCACCGCCTGTAACCTTATAATGCGGTTGAGCATATAAATAGGGGTTCTATAACCAAAGGTACCATCCTCTGCCCACGTGGCTGGCCCATAATAATCTATAATACGCTGGGGAGGCCATTCATTATCTTCCCAGGCACCTATCTCTATGGGTCCCCTTTTCTTCCTATGATTCACATCATACACTTTAACACCTAAAGTCTCACCTGTTTCAATAGGCAACAAGAAGAAAGATGGCTTTGGCATACCTAATACACATGCCCCTTCCCAATCTTGTGGTAACTCCGAATAGGCCTTCTTACCACAGATCCAGTACAAATTCGCTGGGGCTCTCCAACTAGATGTAGCCGATAAGTCAAACCATACCTCCTTTAAATGAGTGTAATTGGCAAACGGATTAGTAGGTTCCGAGACATTTGAAGCTGACCACCAAGTAGTATTTTAGTATTAACATTATAGGCTTTTTGTCCCAAGCACGTTAGCTCACCTACAGACGTGTTATACATTGTCCCTTTCCTGGCTATACAAACATGACCTATAATGGAGGTTTTTAACCACCATTCCAATTTACTTCTAGTACTTACTTGATGATCAGACTGGAAAGGTATCTGTTGTTCATATGTCTCAGAGCCAGGGTACCATATTTCCTTTGCCTCCCATGGCCACTGGTCTCCCATATTAGTACCTCCACACACATAGCAATTAGTTACATTAAGACTACCTGCAATACCCTCAGCCAAATCAATAAATAGGTTGTTAACATTATGGGGAATTTTATCCTCAATACTCATCTCCTCATAGAAGGAATGAGAAACCTGATGAGTTTGAGTTGCCACTGTCTCAGTTTCAAGACCTACATATATTATTGTTCCTGAATTTACTCCTGTGCCATATATTTGGAACCCAAACAGACCTCCAAACCTGTCAATAAAGTACTGCAGATTGGAAATGGTCATGTGAACGGGGTTACACACATAGTTTTACAGTATGGTGTGGTAGGCAACCTTTGGATAATCATATCTTGATCCACTGTTTTTCCCAGGTTGCCCAACCTACACATGACCAATAGGGGCAGAAGTTAGTCTCTATTTGGGCAATCAGGATCAGTAGATCTTTTACTGGGACATAAGTATTTATCATTAAACCCATAAGTTCGTTCCCATTTAAGATTACCACATACATTCCAAAGTCTTCCACTACCCGAAATCGCCTTACATGCATCAAATAGTAGAATACCCGCGGAATGTATGGTGCTTATCACAGTCCTATTTATTAATGTCCCCTGGGAGTTACTATTCCGAATTACCAACCAAATTGTACGGGGTTGGAAATGGGGATCAAAACATTTAGACTCTCCTGATATTGGCTTGCACACACTATAATCAATATCCAAATATCTACATTTAGATACAGATCCCTTACATTCATACTGTGAGTGCCAGATGAAAGTTTGGGATATTTGGTTACCTGTTTTAGTAGTCTTAATGCAACTATCGCAATTCGGTATGTCTATACTCCTACCTTCCTGAAAAATCATAAAAATACTAAGACACAATAAAACACATTATTCCTGAAATCCTCATTTTTCTTCGACCGTGCGATGGCCTCTCAGCTTCCCGATTGTGAGGGCTGCAAGGATGTTGTTCTTCTGATCCTCACTTTCCTTCACAGAGATCCCTTCAAGATACTCTGGCTATGACACGTAGGCAGGTGGTCAGGCTTTATTATGGCCGTCAAAACACCTACTTGATGATCTTTGTAGACTTTTAATTAGAATGTCTCGATATCCCCTCGTCACTCCGACTGAGTTGCACGCTTCAACCGGGTCCTGCAAGGATTCTCAGGATCTGGAGTAGTTTGCCAAGAGTCTGCTGCTGGTTTAACCTTAGAATGATGAATCCAAGGAGTCACTTCCGCCACCTTTACAGCTGTTGGGGTAGATAAAAGAACAACATACAAAGGCTAACAGGATACACCCCGAGCTTTAACTCAATATGTATTGGTGGGATATTACGAGCAAGTCCTGGAGGATTATTTTCTTCCCATACTCCTGGAATGTCAAGTAAGGATTCATCACTCTTAGGGTTAACACTTGTCACTATGGAATAGAAGCGTCATTCTTCTTCCCTCGGCACCGATATCACCATTATGCCTGGTAATCCCTTAAACTTCAGAGATGTTAATCCATTAGGTAAAAGGTTATCTGAGTTTAAAGCTTCGATAATAGATCTCGTCCTAAAAGTTGAATCGGACACTCTGGCATATATAGGAACTAATGCTTCACCACATGGCCTCCCAGAATACAAGTGCGACTCTTAAGAACCGGTCTAGCTGCACTTCTCCCAGTAGCTCCTATCACAGTTATAGTCTTCCCCGAAGGCGGAGCCACCATCTTAGTCACCACAGAATGTTCAGCACCTGTGTCGATCATGAAAGAACTTCTCTTTCCCCCTATTGCTACATCGACCATAGGCTACGCTCGACCAAGTGGGATGGAGCCCAGTCGGTATCAATAGTCTTCCATGATAGTGTCAGCCAGACCCACAAAATCTCTATCCTCTCTTTCTCTAGGTCTCTGCGTGGGTGGATAGTATCTGTCTCCTTGAACACTTCCTCTACTATTCCCACCATTCCCTCTAAAACTTCCTCTTACTCTATAACTACCACTATAACATCCTCGTACCCTTCTCTCTCCTTGTCTATCACCTTCATACTGCTCTCTCTGTGGACACTCACTCTTCCAATGTCCCTCCTTTCTACAATACGCACATTAATTCCTACTTAAAGTCCCTTGCTCAGCCTATTCTCGTCTCCTCTATTCACTTCCCTGTCTTTCTACACTTAAGATAGCTACCGCTAGCATATCTGCCTTTTTCCTCATTTTACGTTCTTCCTCCATCTCCCTATTCATATATACTGTATTTGCAATCTCCATTAGCTGTATTATGGACATCCCTACAAATCCCTCTAATTTTCTTTAATTTCCTTTTACTATCACCTTGGGCCTGGCTGACAAATGCTGAGTCTATCATTCGGAAGTTTTCAGGGGCCTCTGGATTAAAGGGAGTATACAACCTATTTGACTCAAGCAGTGTCTAATATGGGACTTCGGCAAGGCTGCCCAATAATAGGTTCCAGTCTAGGAGTAGTAAGATAATTTTATTAGTCAGCATTTGGTGGATGAAAAAACGTTTTTTTTTTTTTTTTTTTTTAAAGTGTTAAACCAAAAACCTACCAGTAGGTGTCACCAGAGGGTAATTGTATCAAAATAATCTTTATGGGTCTAATAAGAAAACTCAACTTTTAATATATTTATACATAAAATAAAACCTTATAGCAATAAATATATTAAAATAGGGTAAGCAATCCTACATCTATCTGTTATAAACAATGTATTATCAATGTAACTCCCGAAGATGGCCAGTAGGTGGCTTAGAGTGCCTCCCTAAAGTCAAATGAAACAAATAGACTTTAATTAATTATGTCCTATTTTATTATTACTTATTTTAATCAATGTCCACCCTGCTAGCTAGGCTTGATTAAATCTTTAGTTCTAAGGTAAATTAAACATTTCAGTTTGTAGTTTAGTAAAAGGGGACATTTTGGACAAAGCTGGGAGGGGCCCATCCAGTAACTAAAAAAAAACCAATATACCATCTGATACCATTGATCATTGATTAGGGGGAGGGGTAGTACAGAAATACAAGAGTTTGAAACACAGGAACAGATAGGTATGTGGGTAGGCGGGGACAGTAGAGCAGGGGAGTGCAAATACTGATTATACCAGCCAGAAATGGGCGTGGCTAATCTGGCTCTGGAGGATGTTTGGGGGGTTGGTAATCAGATGCCAGGGGGGGAGGGGATGTCCAAAGCAGTTGTAATTAAGTCCTTAGTTCTGACCACCATATGGCTACATTGTTTCCCATATGACACAGTTTAATTCACCAAGGCAATTTTCAACAATCAGTTTCCAACAGTCAATATATAGAAACTGATCATAGAATTCCAGCCTACT